TAATTTTTCCTCAGTAACTTCGGTGTTTTATCCCCGCAGTTGTTTGTCTCATCTTCTAAATTGATGAATTTCTCTCATCTCTTGGTTTTCAGAATTAACTTCATTTCGCAGAATTTATGATAACCACAATTTTCATTTTCTGTATAGTCTGTAATATGTCGTTTAATCCATTATACCTACTTCCCCACCACAGCGGAAACCCCAACGCGCGCCAAATCTCCTCTGGTGCAGAACATTAGTACTGCTAAAGTTCCGGTGGCCATTCATTCCCCTTTTACTGCCCCCGGTTTATTATTGGTATTTGGTGTGGGCGACACTGGACAGCTCGGTTTGGGACCAGATATCACTGAACGAGGCAGACCTGCTCGCCATGGTCAGGCTCATTTGGATTCGCTGAATTTGTCGGAGTCCCAAGCAGAAACCTTTTTTACTCAGGTATGCGCCGGTGGTATGCACACCGTCGGTTTGACCACTGGTGGCCGTGTGGTCACTTGTGGTTGCAATGACGAAGGTGCTTTGGGACGTAAAACCTCATCAGAGTCGGATTCGATTTCCGATCTATCTCCCCCGGCAGCTAAAAGAGCTCATGTGGACTCAAACGAAAACGTGGAACCTGAGGAAGTCGACAAAATCGTCGAAGAAACTCGACTAGGATTCGTCCCACTTCCGCGCAACGTACAAATCACAATGGTGAGAGAAATAACAGCACATTCTATAATCAGTTGTTCTTTGATTCGTTTGTCCACATCATATGCTCATCCCTCGAGCAGGTGTATTTTTTCAATTCGTCGTTATAATTTTCATCAGTGTCCATTAAGCTGCTCCGTCATTTTCCCTAGGGTTTTTCAATTATCTCTGTTCTTTTCTCATCCTGTCTTTTTTGCTGGCAACCCATATCTCATGTAACAGGTTTCAGCTGGTGATAGTCACACCGCGGCTCTTGATTCCAACGGACAAGTTTGGCTCTGGGGTACTTTCCGAGGTCCTAACGGTCCAATTGGTCTCACAGAGGCTGGAGAAATTAGCTCAACCCCCCGACGTCTCCTCGTTGGCTCTGCCGGAGTTCCACAGAATGGCCCTGAATCCCGAACAACATCAACGACAAATAGCACGCACCTAACCGCCGCTTCGCGCGTGGTGAAAATAGCCTCTGGTCAGGATCACCTAGTTTGTCTGACTGATGAGGGCCGCCTGTATACTATGGGCTGCGGAGAACAGGGTCAATTAGGTCGCATTGCTGAACGCTTTGCTCGAACGGGTGGTCGATCCGGAATGAGTGAGTATAAATCTGTTGACAGTGGTAGATAATTTTTACTCCAATGCTGTGAGCCCCAGCTTGTCCGCTTGTTCAAACTGCTGCTTAACTGCGTTGTGTTGATTCAAGGTTTTGTATATTTTGACCCATGAAGTCTTGTGATCGCTGCTGTTCATTTTGCCAGATTTGTATGTGCTAAATTCATCGAATCGTTGTTAGCAATGCATTTTTCGGTATGTTTATGTTTTTCTGCTCAAACAACCTCGTAACGTTCTGAACCTTTTTGGTTGCCATTTAGATGAAGTGAAGAAAGAGAGAGAGCAATATTAAGGCAGGAACAGAGATTCAAGTAGACTGAAATGAGCTCGAACGATGAACGAGAGAGAGAACGGCGAGCCGGAAGCGATGTAGGTGCATTAGCTTTTCCTCTTCTTGAATGGAAATTTGACGGTAGGCGCTTTGAAGATTAAGTGTACTGATCACAGAAACTGGGTCGTCTTTTCCACTAGTTCACCCGCTCTTGGCAGAGGCTAAGCATCAAAGTAAGTAAAATGACCTATCTTTTGGCTGTTCATTTCAGTTTGTCGTCCGTTTCTTATGTCTCTCGCTGGTTGCAAGAACCTGTGCCCGCGAAGGATGTGTGGAAGGTTCTATAATCTTGTTTAACAACAATTATCTGACTTCGGCCTCGATAAAATTGTGGTCAGAAACCGAGTAACGGTGCAATTTCGCAGCGATAAGCGCACAATTTGCGGTTAGATTTCAAACAAATGGGCAATTTCCACTTTTGCTGAGAAAGGTGAACGATTGCTATTAAAGAGAATGATTACATTCTAATGTTGACTGAGAAAATCTAGATCGAGAATAACATCGGTGCACAAATCTTTTAGTAGTATGTTTTCGTATTGAATAGAGGCCTACACGTGCCATTGAGTAACAAGGTGCATGGGTGAAAGCCATCAATATGGTACGTTTAAATGAATTTACAGGCCATCAATGTTTGGCAGCAATGTTGGTGCACAGATACCCCTCGCAACTGCCTGTATCGATTGGTGCTCTCAGAGTTATTCCATTAACTTTAATCTTCACTGTGGAATTGAAGAGACCAGCAAATGATGATAATGCAACAACGGACGAAATGGTTGGATTTAACACAATGTACATCTGGAATGAGTGTTGGAATTGGATTGAAAAACCTTGTAGAAATGCCCTTTCTTTCCACGGGAATTACATGTCGCTTCTCCGGCTGAGCATTTCGAACGAGGATGTCAATGACTTCCACATAAAAAGCGTTTAGTGGAAACTAACGCAGCTATGGCTTTAGTCTCTGGTGGTCAATCGGAAACTCCAGGACGTTGTGGTGAAATGGGGAAATCTATCTGTCTAGTCATGGAACCACAGGGTGTCAGACTGAATCTTAAGTGAGCGACTGATGCTGTTCATTCTCCAAGATACGGACCTCGTTAGAAGCATACTGTAAGCTTAGATTTTGTATCCCGAGAAGCGAATGTCTTTGGAAAGTAATCCCGTAATGTGGTCATCACGGATAGCCTCATGGCGATGTCGCCCAGCGGAAACTGCGACAAAGTTACAATATGCGAGAACTTTGATATTTTGCGTAAACTGATCATTTGATTGTCCTTGTTCTTATTTTGCTGTTGCGAGTAGATATCGCGCGAACGCTTTGTTTTTTGGTTTAACGTAAAGTCCCACGTGATAGCGTTTGATAGCGTTTTCATAATTGGGACAATAGATCGTGTTGGTAAACAAATGGTGATCTAAAACTCACCAGCAACTCTTTATCATTGTTAGGTTGATCGACTGTAGAGATGAAGTTACCGAATGTTTCATGCCAACGAATCCACTGTTCGGTGGCGGATGAAAGTGAGGGTCAGTATCGAATCGTTGTTAAAAGATCAAATTGTAATGAACTCTAGTGATTAGGCGATAAATGAGAGAGAAAACGGAGAGCCGGAAATGAGGCTTTTATCTTCCAACAATGTAAGTACATCGGCTACAATAGAAAGGAAAAACTACATTATCAGTAAACAGTGACACCGTGGTATAAAAATATCAATTCTAAGAAAATCACAACCTGGACGAAGTTTGTGAAGAAAGTAAGTAGACGCTCGAACGCTACTGTTTACGACACCGATATCACTCAATGTCTCTCGACTACGCTGATTCCGAAGCCTTATACGACCTACATTTTCAAGTTCCGTGGTTAGGGTTTTCACACCCTCGTGCTAGGTCTTATTTTGCATACCTTCAGTCTATCAGTTAAATTTACTTTACTGAGAAGAGTGTACATCGCCTCTGTTCGTGTTTTGCTTTGTTGTGAGACGTGACCCCTAATCGAATTTCTGTATTCAACCACGGATATCTTTTAATCATTGCTCGTTTCTGGTGAAAACATTGAGTGAGCAATGATAAGATTCGTCGTTTTGTGTTGGGTGCTAGTAGTCGTTCTCTGATGGAAGAAATCGCTCTGTTTCGCCTTAGACCAGAACTTGGCTTTTATGTTATTGAATTTGGTCGGCGCAGTCCGTCTTCCAAACTGGGACCCAAGAGATAAAGATTGTTGCTAGTTAGAGACATATTGTGCAGAACAGATGTCGGTTTCGCGATTGTGGTATATTTTTTCTGTTAATATGCTGTGCCCCATACGAATGACAAACACGAAAGTATCAAAAAGTGTACGATTAAAACAAACCAAAAGAACATTAGTTCTTGTTTCTATGGTGCTCCATAATTGTTGCTTTTCCATGTCGTCCTCTGTTATCCTATTTCACTCTCCCATTATCAGTGTCTTCTTTTATCTTTTTTTAAATTTTACTTCCTTTTATTGAACATGCATTGGTACAATTTTCGGGAAGGGGGCAAGCGGCCAATCAAAGGGCTGCCATTCAGCACACATTGGGTAAAGTCAGGCGGTGGTGGAGGGATTCGAACACATCCCCGGGGTGATAATTTGGTGACGTTACCACCGGGCCACCACCGCTCGTGTCATAAATATCTTCGTATAATCATGTGTGCTACTAAATTTCGTAATTCAAGATTTTTATCTTCATTCTTACTTTTCTGTTTGATCAATGATTTGACCCAAAGTTCCATGCTATTAGTTAGGGATGTCTAGTTATTTTTCGATTTTATACAAATACTTTCACTCATTGTCGCTATACTTAGTTACTTGTTCCATCTCACCCGTTTCGAACGACTGTGTCAAATATTTATCATTCCCATTGATGTTCACATTTATGAAGGTTTGCTAATACCCGGGATCTATTCAAAGGGCATCATTCTTTTGGTTTATATCATATTTTTAACTAATCCGATGGGTATAAACCTTCCATTTTTTTACTCGTCCAGGTTCACTGTTACAACCCGCTGAGTGTCGTGTGCGTGGTGCGGTCCGATTCTCAGACGCATGGGCTGGAGGCTTTGCCACTTTTGCTCGTTGTCAGTCCACTGGACAGATATACGCATGTGGATTGAACAATTACGGTCAGTTGGCCCTGTTAGGCCCATCACGTTCAGCTCGTTCTAATACCTCACATGTTTCTAATGGAGCGTCCGATTTGCGCGAAGAAGGAGAGGAAGACACTGTTATGGAGGAGGAGGACGTCGCCGAAGAAGACTCATCGATCGATGCCGCTCGAGTCATCACTGATCGGAACGCCGCCGACAAATCTGAAGCTTCTCTGATTGCTCGTCAGGGACCACTAATCCAATTCATGCTCACCCGGGCACGGGGGTTCGATCCTGATCGGGATTGGAAACAGTTTGCTATTAGCATGCATCACACATTGGCGTTGGATAAAACAGGTTTGTTACTGTTACACTCTTGTTTTAGGGGTTTTCCATCAGTTTTCGTTGTCCTCGTCGGTGATTGTTTAGTCTGTTTAGCCCCATCACTATGTATCGTTTAAATGTGGCTCGTACGCTTTGTAACTTCCCTTCAGCCACTCGTTCCCAGATTGATATCTACGAAATCCTTCGGTAAGCTCATGTGGTGGATGTGGATAAATAGACATCAAACTACCTACCTTAGGAGTCAGTTACACATTGTCCTCATTCATAATGCAATCTGCCAATTTTTGGTAATCTATACTATTTTAAATCAAACGAATTCTGACGCGTACAACATACTACACATTTCACCTGCAACGACGCACTGTGCTTCACCAACCATATTAGGTTTGGAAGCCACCATGGAGGCCTTGGAGTACTTAGTCGTTGCAATCTGTATAGCCTCAACAGTGATGTGATGTTGAAAAATGAGAAGCACTTTGTCAGCGTCGTTACGCATTGTTCTGCTTTGGTTCTGTAAGTCATTCTTCCTCTGAGTAACCATAGTTTGAAAACACTGTCCCGTCATATTTTGCATAGAGAATCCATAAATATTGATTTGCGCAGTGTATCCACGATCAGCTCCGTGCATCTGTACACATACACCACAACCAATCTGATTTATATGGTCAGCAATACAAAAAGTTGTGGTTACCAACACCAACGAATAACCAAGCGCGAAAAATGAAAATGGGATTATTAATCATCAAAGGAATAATAATGTGCTTGGGTCGGGTATTCCACTGTAAACTCCCAGGACCTCGGTATATCTCAATCGTTTTTGGTGCTGGAAACAATCCGAAACAAGTGGACTGGAGTGATACAATATATCTTTTCCTATATATAGTGCGTAATTGTAAATTTATGTCTTCAGTTTCGTCATGGACTGAGCAGATGCGGTGGAGTGATCATGGATACATTGCGCACTCCCCGCGTTTGTGACTACTGTTTAAGCATAATTTATCTGATGGAAATCGCTGACAACCAGTTACAATGTGTAAGGCTAGAGATTGTCTTGTACTTTGCGGCAAAGGACCGCGTCACCATTTTTTCGATGGCTAGACACCGAATCATGGTTAAGTTAAACTAGAATTGAATTATGTTGAGAAAGTGCCCAACTTAATTAAGTATCCAGATCGGGATCAGCTCGTGTCCCAGGGATCCACTGAGCAGTAGTCTTCTCGAATTACCGAGGCAGTTTTCCTCATCATCATAAGCTTCACTGTTGTTGTTTTCAGGTCACATTTATGCTGTCGGTCGACCGGATTATGGTCGGTTGGGTCTAGGAAGTACAGTGGCTGCGGCGAATTTGTCCATCTCCACACCAACCCGCGTGCAGGGCCTATTGGCTAACCGAGTTTGCGTTTGGATTGGAGTTGGCGAATCCTGTTCCTACGCTGTGGATTCTTCGGGTAAGTCCACGCGTTCATTTACAATTTTACACTACTTCAAATATTGGTTATTCATTTGGAGATTTGATGCACAAGTACCAATTTCGCATGTACATCTGTTACTGTTGAAGTTGAGCTACTAGAATTGCGCGGTCAGTAAAGCTGTTCGTTCTAGCGTAAACAAAGGTCAACAAAGTAACGGTAAAGTAACTGTTTCTTCCACGAACGGATGAATTTTTGCCCTGACGAAAGTAAATTCATCTGATCTTATGCAAATAAAAGATCACTGAAGGGGCTTGCGAATGCCGGCTTATTTGATTACATTATGACTCATCCGATATTAATCTCACTTTGTCTTGGGTAGAAATTGAATGCATTACATCATCAAACCAAAGACAATCGGGATATTTAGTTGGTCTCAGATGGAGACGACAATAGAAAAAATCTGTACTTTAGGAGGAATACTCAGAAAGCTGACAAAGATAGCGGATCATGAATGTCATTCACTGTACGCTAGTAATACCCTCGTGGGAGCATGTGAACGTGCAGTTGAATAATTTATTTAATTGGACAATAAACAAAAAGATTTGCTTCTCGGGATATCCGAAATTTGTTGTACGATGAGCTTTTCTCTCAATCTGTAATATAGGTTTCTCACAGGCACTCGCCGTGACGGACACAGCATGCAAACTGTTACAGGTTCACACAACTGAATGCTGTTAGGCACGTCTCCACTAAAACAATCGGACAAAGGTGATCATCGACGATGTCTGAGAATGTGATGGGTTTTCGCTTTTTAAGCCATTGATTTGCAAAATAATTCGCAGATGTTCGTAGAGTGCATCGTGACGGACGCCGATCTCATCCGCCTACAAGTGGTACTATGTACGGTCTAGGAATGTATAATTGAAGAAAAAAGGCTGAGTGATAGGGAAAACTCCAACATATACTATACTCGCATTTAACTTACAGTTACTTGTGAGTAGTGGTGTGGGATAGTATATTCCTAATATTCGTGGGTTTAGTGATTTGTCCTTTTTCAGGAGCAATTAATACAACTGTTGATCAATGGGTCAGAACCGGAAGTGAATACTCATTTTTTTCAAATCTTCTGAGTATGTTTCATCGAAGAATGTCAAATGAAGAATAATGATTGTAAAATTTGAATCCTGTTGTGTCCAATTTTGTGATTTATTTGCATATATGTGGCAGAGGGAAGGCTAAAACATACGACGTCTTACCTTTAATATTATTTATTATGATTATTATTTCACAA